AAACAAGATGAAAAATGCTACATGAACATATTATCAGATACATAGAAAGCTTTTGGGAAACCCTCAATAAAATATCATCATTTATATTAATTTTTTTATAAAGTTTTTAGGCAATTGGGGTTAAGTGACTTGCCCAGGGTCACACAGCTAGTAAATGTCAAGTGTTTGGTCTGAGGCTGGATTTGAACTCAGGTCCTCCTGACTTCAGGGCTGATGCTCTGTCCACTGCGCCAACTAGCTGTAGGATTACAAGGATATTTCCATCATTAGATAAAAATGATTTATTTGAAACCACCAAATAATATTATATACAATAGAGAAACACTAGAAATAGTCCCTTTAAAGGCAGATGTTTCATCACTAGTCCTGTTAGACACAACTTTAGAAATATTAGGAAATAGCATTAAGACATAAAATAGAAATTAAAAGAATAAGCATCAGCAAAGAGCTTAAATTATTTATTGCAGATAAAGACTAGCTATTTAAAAAAAACTTCAGTCAATAAATGACTTATTATAGAAGATATAAAATAATCCCACCAAAATTATTTTCATTTCCCATACCTAACCAAAAAGCAAGGCAAATTGACAGAGAAATATATGATAACATAATGCATCTAAGACTTATACATTAATTTATCAAGGCCTACAAAAGACCTATATAAAGAAAACTTTCAAATGATTTTGACAGAAATCAAATAACTAAAGAAATGTAAAGGGATATTCCTTGCTCAGTTTCACTGGGGCATAGTAAAAATGTCAGTACATCCCAAATTATCTTAGAGTTTAAATTCATTATTAATAAAAATACCAAAAGCTTATCTCATTAGTTTTGATAGTCATAATAAAATTCATGTGGAAAAATAGGCAGGTAAAAATATACAAAAAAATTGTGAAAAAGAAAGCAGGAAAAGAGCATACCAGATCATAAAATGTCCTAATAAGACAGTTATAATTATAAAATAGTTGCATACTACATAAGATTAGGGAAATAGAGGAATGAAACAACACACAGAACCCAAGAACTGAACTCTGTGTGTGTCAATCTATCAAGGTTAGTATTTAATAAATCCACATTTTAAAAAAGAGGGAATAAAATGAATTCAATAAAATCTGTTAGACAGACTGGATAGCTATGTTATTTTAAAAAATGGGTTGAGATCCACATCTCACACTAAACTAAATTCTAAACTGGATCAATGATACATATGCACATAGAAAAGCCATAAAAAACAAAGACAAAAAGTATTTGTCTCAACTCTATATGGAAAGGAGAGATATTTTAATCAAATAAATTTTTGCTTTAAATGTATCAAAGGTCTGACATACAGAAGCTACACAAAAAACTGATATATATTCATGACTATTAATACACATCCCTTGGTGGAGCAATGATCAAGGGGCAAGAATAGACAATTTTAGAAGAACAAAATACAAACTTTTAATAACTATGAGATGTTCAAATTCCTTAATGATTCGATAAATGCAATTCAAGCCTCCCTTAAATATCACCCACCAAAAGGACAAAAATGTTGACAAGACTATGTAGAAACAGGCACTTTAAATAAAACATTGTGGGTGGGGATGTTATGTGTCAGACAAACTGTTTGGAGAACGGCATGGCAATATGCAATACAAGTAAAATAAATGACCGTGTGTTTTGACCCACTGTTTTCATTATTAGGAAAAGAGGACCTATCCATACAAAAATATTTAGAATGGCACTATTTGAAAAAAATAAAAAACTGGATTCAACCTATATGCCTGAAGCTTGAAGCTTGGCTGTATAAATTATTGTTCAGTAAGAAGATAAACAGTAAGTATACAAGTATGGAAAGGCCTATATGATGTGATGCAAAATTAGAGGATGATACATGGTTGCAAATGGAGTGGACCTACAGACAGACTTGGAAGTGACCTGTGACAAAATATTTGGGGCTTCCTTTGAATTTATCTGGTTCTACTTTACTAAATGCTAAGAGTTCTATGTAAGATTTTTATTCTTTATTTTGTATGTGTTTTTTATTATCTATTTTAAAGGTTTTTCAGTTCATTAAAAACAGACCAAAGGCTGAGTTACATGACTTGAGAGCAGGCTTGTCTGCCAGTAAGTAGTGCTGGAAACTGGCAGCTTACAGACAACACTGACCAAGAACTCCTCTCAGGGGGCTTGCTTCCTCTGACTTTTTCCCTCTGCCCAGGATTTTGATGTTTTCTAAGCTTGTGTTATTCAAGTCACTTTGATCTCAGGGTGACTGTTCAAGAGAGTGATGAATGGCAATGAGGTCAAGGAAGAGGAAGGAAAATGGGGTGATCACAGGACTCTGAACTGTAAGAGACCTTATCTAGTCCAACCCTCCCATCAGACACATGAGAAAGGGGAAGTGACCTGTGGCTGGACTGCGGTAAACAGCAAGGGCAGGATTCACATCCAAGCAATCCCTAGGGATCATCTAGTTCAACTTCCTTATTTTAAAGATGAGCGAAGTAGGACCCCGAGAGATTTAGGGACTTTACCCAAAGTCACACAGTGAGTGAGAAAGGTGAGAAAGAGCCCAAGATTACTAACTCACAGTCATGATACAAATGATACCATGATACAAATGGAAGTTATAGTTATCATTATTATTCATTAAAATCTTTTAATTTGGTTATGTGAACAAAGGCAAGGGAAACTTTGGATGCATGATACTCTGCATTCTTTTCAGATTATGTTAGGGTGGCTCTGGTTCTGGGTGCAAGAATAGAATTACCAAGCTGAGAGTTAAAATGGGCAAAGAGGCTGACTTAGCGGAAGGTGGGGATAGGTAAGACTTTGGCAGGAGTTACCTCCGATGCAAATATGTGAACTATAAGGCCCCTCAGTGACACTGGCAATAATTTCGTTAGCTTTATCTTTAAGGAAGAAGCATTGTTTTAAGAATTTAATACCACAAGATGTTATCCCAAGGACAGGACACTCAAAAGATGAAATGGATGGCCCCTGAAAGCTATCATACATTAATAGAAGGAAGAGATAGCCACAAGAAGACCACAGGAGTGCAGAAGTAGGCTAGATTGTCAAAATGACTAGAGGATGAACTGAGAACTAATAAGCCAGTGCAATTCGGACTGCTACAAGGTTACAACTGTTAGGGACTGCTACATTGGTAACGACAGACTAGATACTTCTCACTCCCAAACCCAAACTGGCACATGACTACAAACCCCAGTGAAGAACAAGACAAGTGGGACTTCCAGATCTGATGTTACAGTGCTGAGTCTGGGGGGGAGGGGAAAAGTGAGTCATCTTTCAGGATCATAGAAATGGGAGGAAAAGAGTTATTGAACAAGAGATGCTAAACCAAGAACTGAAGTGGGGCAGATCGGCCTGACCGCCCCAGAACTAGGTACTATCAATAAGTTACTTAGAAAATTCCAGGAATCTCTATGTGTTACTTCTAACACCTTGGTGGTCACAATGGAACCGAAGGTCTGGGAGCACAACTGGTCACAAGAGTAAGTGAGAACAAAAGATAAATGATGAGGGGGTTTTCCCTTTTGCTTTCTATGAAATGCCTTTATATCTTGTAGCATTAGGGTTTCCTTGTGACTCTCTTAGTGGACTAAAAATACCTAATAAGATCACATCTTTACCCTTCTGGAGCTTACAGCCTAGTAGGGTATATAAGTAGTTACAAAGAAAAACAATGAGAAAATTATTAGATTAGTACTGAAGGTATGGGCTTTGTTAGTGGGTCTATCTGTTCACTTAGGTTGTGTCTTTCTCTTTCTGCTTCAAAGTGCCTTTGTCTCTACTTCAATTTTTGTCCTTTCAGGCCTCCATGTTTTTGCCCCATCTCCCTTCCCTGGCCTTAGAGACTTTTTCCTTATCCCTGGCCTGGTTTCTTTTTTTCCTCAGTTCCTCTTTTCTCCTTCAACTCACTCAGAGACATTCTACTACTTATAATAATATAATTAATTGAACTGAAAAGAAATTATCCTTTCTCTTTGATATGCTAAGTGACCGAAAAGTGACAAACTTTCTATATCCTCCAACTACTTAAGTTTCTTCTCTGTTTAGTCATTCTCCTCCCCCCCCCCCACCCGAAATTGGGAATTCTGTTATTAGACAAACAAGATACTGCCTGGTGTAGTGCAAAAATCTGGGCTGGGTCTAAGATCTAGCTTTGTGACCTTAGGCCAGTCACTTCTTGCCTCCCTTGGGCCTCTGTTTCCAAGTTTATAAAATGGATATATAATATAACGGATATATAAGAGTACTGTTGTAAGGAGATGGCTCTATAGACTGTAAAAAAAAAAAAAAAAAAAAGCTACATGTGTAAATCATTGCCTCCCCAAAACAAAAGAAACTGCAAAGAACAGAAAGATTCCTCACCATTTTCGAGGTGAAAATGGCTGTATTCTACACTTATTGTCCAATAAAATCACAGTACTCAGTTACTTTGTAATAACCTAAAGGAAAGGACAGTTGCATAAGAAGCATAGTCAAGGACCAAAAACCAAAACAAAATGCCAGAACACAAAGCCAGGGCTAGCAAGCCCTGGATATAAAAGTGATTGTCAGTGGAACAATTCTTAACAGTTTAACCCTAAGAACAATGCTATTTTATTTATGAGTGATATGGATGACAAAATATCTCTTCCTACAGGTCTCTTATAAAAAAGGTTTATTTTTTATTCCAAGGAGTTAAAATAGCAGGAGCCTGGACTTTTCCACCCTTTTCCTTTTCCAGTAGACAAATTCATACCCTGAAAAACTTGTATTTCCTGAGTTTGGTCCTGTCCAACCACAAACTGAATAATCAAGCCATTAAAAATCTCTGGTATTTCAAAATAAACTTGCCAACCTCTGCTAGCATGTGTGTCCTCTGTGGTCCTGTCGCTATGTCACCTTCACAAACATTCAATATGTTTTTACACCCCTATAAATATTCCTTTTTCTAAGCTCAAAGCTTCATTGGTTTGAGCTCAGAAGAATTGCAAATTGTTCTTACTTACATCAGGAAGTCTGTATAGCTTCATTGTTCTCTGTAAAGTCATATTTCTACTCAAGTGAGAAAATTTCACTTCTACCAGTTTTCTGGGATTTAGTGATCGATGCCAGTATCTGGAAACACAGTGCAATAAAGACTTTTAAATCCGATTTTCTCATATCATTATAAAGTTATTCTTGTTGTCCAATGCTTCTTCTAAAGCTTTCACTATAGTTTATTTAAGACTTCTAGTTCAGCTGCTCAACAGTATACCACTAAAATCTATAGACATCAGAAAGTTATTTTTCATTCACTTTCTACCTCTAAATTATTCCTAGTATCCATGGATATATAGATATAGATATTGACTTTCCTTCCTTCCTTTCTTTTGTAAAAGTAAATCTTGAAGTTATTTATAGAAAGGATATCAATATTACCCCAGCTCAATAAGATCTTTAACCCCAGCACTGATCCTGTGAAAAGCAAAGGCAGTAATTATCAAAATGATTTGGGAGTGGATAAAAACCAAGTCAATGGAACAGAACGGAGGAAACATTTAGAAACAAAGGTATGCAACAGATTAGTGTTTGAAGAACCCATGACTATCACGCTGAAGAAAGCAATCAATATTGTAGAAAATTGCACAGCAGTTTTTTAGACTCACAACCCATACCACATAATTAGACATTTTAAGGCTCTAGGATTTCCAAGGTGTGAGTTTTCCCTTCACCCATTCAGAGAGCAAATGCCTTCGTAACAAGTCAGTTTCAGTTGCTATGCCTGAAAAGCTAATTCCCTCATGGCTAAGCTGATGATGAACCTCTGGACTTGGCTAGATATGCCTTTAGATGAGAAATGCCTGGCCCTGTACTCAAAGCCTTGCTAGCATAATAGCAACTACCAGTGGCTTATACTCCAAAGACTCAGCCTTCAGGAACCCAGGGTCACCTCCCTCGTATAATGAGAGCTCAGAATAGCACTTTACTTTGTCAGTGGGATATAGCAATTGGATAAATTACTAAAAACTCCAACGCACTCAATATAAACACAACATTAAAACATTTGAAGAAAAAGGAAAGGCACAGTAATGTCAAATTTGAAAGAAAAATTCTTAATTACTGACTAAAGGAAGAAATTCTTGGAGATAAAGATGGATCTGGGTTGTAGAAATATAAGCAATATATTCAAAATTAAAAGAAAAAACATTGAAAAAAAATCCTTGTCAATTTTTTTTGGTTTGTTTCAATCCTTTGATTTTGTGGTCATAGGGAACTCCCTCTGCTGGTATAGATTTGCATCTGTTCTGCACCTTTAAATCTTAAAGAATTGCTTGGGGGTAACTACAAAGTTAAGTGACTTGCCCATGGTCTCACAGCCAGCATATTTCAGTGGTAGGACTGGAACACAAGATTATTCTGATTCTAAGACTGACCCTCTTATAGACTATTCCATGCTACCTCTCTGTAATAGATATATCTGAGGAAAATCAGACACCTAGCACACAAATTTATAAGACTAGTACCCATTCCCCAAGGTATTAATAAGTGGTTAAAGAATCTGTGTTAAAGGAACAAAAATACCTACTTGAAAGTAAAAGAATTGTGAACAAAAAAAAAGTAGTTATTATCTTATACCCATCAAAATTGGTAAAAGCTGTTAAAAATACCATGCTGATGAGATTATAAAGGAAGAAATAACTGTGAACCTTTTAGGAAAGCAATCTGGCAGCCTACAGTGAGAGTTGCTACTACTAAACCTATAGCCCAAGGATGTTCCTGAAAGGGAAAAATTATCTATCTTCATAAAAATATCCTTAGCAACTTTAATTGAAAAACTCTAATCAGCCTATATGTTCAATGATTAGGGAATATTTGAATAAAGTATGGCATGTATGTGTGTGTTAAGGCACCATGACATACAATGACAATTATGAAGACTGCAAAGTGAACAAAACCATAAAAATGAAACATGTCGGGGCAGCTAGGTGGCGCAGTGGGTAGACCACCGGCCCTAAAGTCAGGAGGACCTGAGTTCAGATCCAACTTTAGACCAAACACTTGACACTTACTAGCTGTGTGACCCTGGGCAAGTCACTTAACCTCAACTGCCTTAAAAAAAAATGAAACACGTTCTATATTTTAAAAAGCAACAACCTGGTAAGTACACAAAGGGAAAAGAAAATTGACACGAGAGTTTATCTGTGTACATGTATTTTCTACTTAGAAATATTTTGCAGCTTATGGTTTCATGACTGTTTTTACTATTTATTTTGTTCATTTGATTGAGATTATTAAGTTTCTAACAGACATTTTTTTACAGGGCATTTCTTTCCCTATGGAAGAACCTTAAACTAGAAAATTTTTTAATAGTTTTCCCCAAGTTACATCTTTAAACTATAGTTACCCAAGAAAATAGATACTTGAAAATCAAGGTTTATTTTGGCTAAACATTATAAAGTCTAAAATTTTAAAGTGTGCTCTCAAAATATTTTATTATTTTAAACTTTTGACTTTTTCTTATTTTCTTGGGGACCCTCTGCAATCACTTTTCCATTTGTTTACTTAGATTTTATTACTGGTTTTTAAAATATAGTTGTGAAATTAATGTGGCTTTGCTCTTATTTTATGTAAATGGAAACTGAATCCATTAATGTCTTATCATAGTTTTTAGCTCAACTATCTCTTCTTATCATAGGTGTAAATATGAGGTGAACCTAGGCACAACTTAATATGCCAGCAACTCTTAGAGCCAACTTAGGATGGTGGCACTTTCCCCACATTGCTGTAGCTACCATGGGTACTACTCCTACTTCTTTTATTTTCCTTCTTTCACTCCTGCAAGTCTCTGTATGGCATGAGAGGAAGAAGGATCTATGTCTAGTAAGGTGAACCTGGTAGTCCATGGCCAACTCTCTTCCAGACCCTCTTCAATTTGGCCTCTCCTAGCTGGTGGCACTTTTCCTTGGTGGGGCCTGGGGCCCTCTCTTCTCATCCTTCTACATAAAGTAAGTAGTACTTGGGAATCTCTTCAGCTCCCATGGATTGAATTATTCTCTCTATGCTGATGATTCTCAGATCTACCTATCCTGCCCTAATTTTTCTGCTAACTTCCATTTGCTGGTGGAGACAAGTAAGCTGTTTTCCATCCTTGTTTCCCTTATGAGACCCCAAGTCTTGGCCAGGCACTTCAGTCAGCTGGAGTCAAGCCAAGGAGAAATCATGTATGTATCTCCCCTGACTTTGACTCTTCTGGCCATTTTGTTTTCTCTGTTGTAACCCACAGAAAATAGATCTGGGGTTCTCACTGGCAAAGAAGAAGTTAAAATTTTGAATTTTAAAAGCATGTGCCTTTTGATGCCAGTTCTTAAAACTTCCCACTACTAGTCTATCATGGTAAAATGTGGAGCTAGGGGATCAGGGTCCAGTTAGAGAGAGACCTTTTTAGCTAAGAAGATAAGGCTTATAAGGTTGATCTATATTTTTAGGATGGGGGGAAAGGATTTGATTAAAAGGAGCCTTTTGTAATATGTTTAAGTAGAGTTTAATTTTAAAAATTTCATTAACTTTTAGTTTCTTTGATGAATAAAAATATTGTCCTTCATGACTGAGCAGTCAATAAAATCTGTCTTAAAAAAGAAATGCCCATGATACTAATGGAATGTGCACCATACACCTGAGTCTTATTTGTTTAGGTATTTTAAGAGAGAGAGAGAGAAAAATTGAAAAGACAAATGTGGGTTGCAGCAAGGGAAGATGACCAGATATGATCTAGGAAAAAATAATTTACTTCCTGAAAGAATATCTTTAGGCTTTAGTAAGAGCATATTTCACATCATATGCTTTCAGCACTATTTCCTCCTTCACTCTTGTTCTCACACAAACCCCATTTACCCACACAAGTGATCCCATTCCACCCCATTTCTTCCAACAGCTTTCTCCCTCTGTTATCCCCACTCTCTTACTTATCTTCAGTCTCTCATGGTCTGTTGGCTGCTCCCCTACTGCCTACAAATATGCCCATGTCATCCCCATCCGCAAAAAAACACTTAATCTTTTGATCCGTGCTGTCAAGTACTTCTAAAAGCCATTGCCTTCTAGAGGAGAGCCTCTACTTTCTCTCCTCTCACCTTCTTTTAACTCCTTTCTTTAAGTCAGATTCTGACTTTATTTCACCAAAACTGCCCTCTTCAAAGTGACATTGCTCCCCACTCCATTTGGCCAAGGTGATTTTCTCAAAGCACAGGTCTGATCATGTCACCTTCCTACTTAATAAACTCCAGTGGCTCTCTGTCACCTTCAGGATCAAATGCAAAATCCTCTGTTTGGCACTGAAAGGCCTTCCTTCATAATCTAGCTTCATGCTACCTTTCCAGTCTTCTTTCATGTAATTAATTCTCTGCCATGTATTCTTTGATTCAGTGACAGTGTCCTTTTTGCTGTTCCATGAACAAGATACTCAATTTCTCAGCTCTGGGCATTTTCTCTGGCTGTTCCCCATATTTGGAATGCTCACCTTCTTCATCTGTATCTCCTGGTTTCTCCGACTTTCTCCAAGTCCCAACTAAAATCACATCTTCTAAAGGAAGCCAAACCGCTCTAAATTCAGTGCTTTCTCATTTTTAGTTATTTCCTGATTATCCTGTACACAGATTGTAGGTTTCTTGAGGGTAAGGACTGTCTTTTACTTCTTTTTGTACTCCTAGCAATTAGCACAGTGCCTGGCACATAACAGGCACTTAATAAATGCTTACTAACTGACTGAGGTGTGAATAATGCTTATGTACTTTTCCTTTTTGGTAAATAAAGTTGTTAATGCCTCTTTTATCCACTGTTACCATGTATTCAGTGTGGCTCTTGGAACTGCTTGCCAAACACAATAGGAAGGAGAAAATAGTAAAAGAAAAACACTGAAAAATGGATGGGGACAAAGGAATAGCATGCTAATAAATATAATACTAAATCTGATGGCTTCAAAATGCCTAGTCGCTGCTTTTCCTGAGCACAGTAGACATGTGTTCAGTTTGGAAATGGGAATGGAAGCAGAATGGTGGCTTAAATGACAAAAAACGTTCTCCTTACCTGCAAGTAGCCACGGGCTTGGGAAGGACTACTCCTGCTGTATAAACAGCTTGAAAAATCCCCTCCAAGTTGACTCTTCTAGTTATTTCTCTAATCAGCACTGGTGCTACCCGTTTCGATCTCAACTTCTTATGAACACAGAGAAAATTTATTTCTACCATCTTCTTCACACTAAGAAACAAATTGTCAAAAGTTATGGACAATACAAGAAATGTTTTTTTGCATAAACTTTTGTATTCTTTGGGGTTTTTAAAAAAGGGATCAGGTATATTAACTCAGGCTCTATCAATTTGGAATTTGTGACAATTTGGACACAATTAGGAAAACTTATCTTTTATGCCAAAACAGCACAAGACTGTTATGGGAAACCATTTTTCATTCATTTCAGTAGTAGCACCAAATTGTAACATACAATGGTAATTATAAATAAGCTTTTATTAGCAACACTACTAACCCTTTTTACTCAATGTACATAAAAATGATAAAATTGAATTTCATTTTTAAAAATATTCTACAATTTACATATTTCTCTAACTTAGGATTCCCCCTGCAAATCACTTCTCCTTTTTTAATAAGTATGGATTCATTAAGTTTTACAATACATTTGTATAAATTTGATTGCAAAGTATTTACAATTTAATAATGCTAGTTTTACAAAATCTTAAAATTATTACCAACCCTTCACAATATATTCTTTTTGCCTGAATATAGTGTAATAAATGCCTTCAAGGCAAAATCTTTAGGAAATCCTAAAATTTGTGATGGTGATATGGCCTAGTTTGAATCATTTAAAGAATTTCAAAGATGCCAAGTTTTGGCAATTGAGAATCTTAACCCATTTCTCTTCAAGTTAAAAAAGATATCAGATAATAGTCTGAACCCTACCTGGTGCCCTAATTCTCAGAAAGTCATCCCTGATTTGATGAAAACAATGACTGGACTGTGTTTCCTTTCCACTTGGCTCAAAAACATTGTAGAATTAACCCTACTTTCACGCCCTAGCCTAGCACCTAGGGCGGGGGTGGGGAGGCTGCAGCATTGAGGCTGTATTCCGCCTTCTACGTCCATGGGTGACGCCTTTGGACTGAGTCCAAGTTTTACAGAACAAATTCTTTTGTTAAGGGGATTTGTTCTATGACGTTTGGATTCAGTCAAAGGGCCTCACTTGAGGACTTAAAGGGCCACATGACCTAGAGTATCCTTCTAATGCTAATCAACATGTGATTGATAAAGCATGATGACTTATTTAATAAGCATATAATAAATGAGAGTTATCCTGCATGGTCATCCTCTTGAGAAGCTAAACACTTAAGATGCTAACCACCCAAGATATGTCCCAGAGTTTATCTTTTGGAATTGCTGTCAGAGCCTTACAAGAAAAACCATGGCTGTACCTTGTTTTTCAACCCAAAATAATTTTACCCAGCTCAGTCACCCACCTCATCTATAAAATTCGTCTCTAAATAACTCTTGGCTACTTCCAAAAATCAAATCCATAATTATATGCCAGCATGAAGATATTTAAAAGAATAATTACAGCTAACATATAGTTCTTCAAATATTGGAAAGCATGTTACATATAGTAATTTCATCTGAACTTCACAGTTGCTCTGGGAGACAGGAACTATAGGTATTATAGGCTAGGGTTTATTTTTATCTTTGAATCCTCAGTTCTTGGTATAATTCTAAGCTCACAGTATGCACTTAGTAAATACTTTTTGAAATGTACTTATTATCACTATTTTAATAGCTCAGGAACCTGAGGCTCAGAAGAGCTCTAAGATTTGCATGGCAAATTTTTTTCCATCCCCTCAGTTTTATATTGTATACATCTTTGTTTTGTTTTTTGTTTGTTTTTTTTTGGGGGGGGGGGCTGGGCAGTGGGGTTAAGTGACTTGCCCAGGGTCACACAGCTAGTAAGTGTCAAGTGTCTGAGGCCGGATTTGAACTCAGGTCCTCCTGACTCCAGGGCCGGTGCTCTATCCAGTGCGCCACCTAGCCACCCCTACATCTTTGTTTTTTAAAATCTGTTTCCTATAGCCAATGGATTGTAGAATTGTTTTCCTATCCAATCTGTCACTCTTTTTCATTTTGTTGTATTATTTAATCCATTCACATTTAAAGTTATGCAAGATTTATATTTTCTTCCACCTGTCTATAAAATTATTTTTTCCAAGTTACGATTTTTTCCACTCTTCTGCTATAAACACAGTATTATGTTCCTTCAGTTTATTTACTTTAATCTTTTTTTAAGGTCTAGTCTCTAAGACTTGCCCACAGTTGCACAGAGGCAGTATTTAAGTCCAGGTCTCTCCTGATTCCAAGTCTTTCCAAGAATGTGCCAAAATCCCTGAAACTAATTCCTCAAGAGGAGCTTTGAGCATTTTAAACAATGGAAGTGGCAATGGAACACAGACCTTTCCTGGTGACTGCACTGAACAGGACAGCACTCATTTGGAAGCATCTTAACATTTTAGTCACCTTACTGTATAGGCATGCCCTGTATGTTTAGTGGACCTGAAAACCTCACTCATAACGACAGCAGTCAAGTTTTCCTGCCAATAAGGAGCAATGCAGCCCCTAGACTATAGTAAACTGGGACACCTACACTGGGCTTCCCCACATTGCTGATGGCTTGGGTGGCAATTCAGGAAGGCTGCCAGCAGGGAAGAAGAAACTGTCAGTAGGTGTTTTAAAGAAAAGAAAAAAGACCTAAACACGGACACACATATTCCCTTAACTGAATAATGAAAATGCTTGAACGCTCCAAAACATCCAGGATTTCATCAATGCAGGTTTTCCTACTCGTATAGATCATAAACCCCCCACACTTTATTTTCTAAACTGCTATGGCAAAAAAAAATCCATCATAAAAAAAAAGCACACAAAAAAAACAAAGGAAACATTTAAATATGAAGAACCATCAGGTGTTCTGACCAACCTTTTGCGATAAGCACCTCCAAATTTAATAATAATAATAATTGTTGGTCTTTGGATGAAAGCTTATCTCCAGGCTTGAGAGGCAGTGAAGTGGGAATTTAGTAAAGGACAAAGATACACATATTTGGAGGGTGGGAAGAAAAGGGAGAGCCCAAACCTATAATTTCATTGGTTTGGGGGAACTCCACGTCTGGAGACCCACTTCTCTACCAATGCAGATCTGCAGCTGTTCTCTTCTTTACACCAAACTTGTGATTTCATCAATTTGTTCCTGAGGAAACTCCCTCAACCAAGGAAGATCGTCAACTATGCAATTTGTAGTCTTAGTTGCCCAGGGCACTAAGAATTAAGTGACTTGCCCAGGGTCAGTTACAAAGTCAGTATGGGTAAGAGGCAAGAATCCAGGTCTTGCTGATTTCAGACCAGTCTTCTATACATTATTTCATGCTGCCTCTCAAAAGATTGGTTATACACACACACACACACACACACACACACACACACACACACACAAACATACCTATATACATATATTTACATACACTAAAATATTATATAATTCCCACTATCTTCCCCCTAAGGCACATTAAATAGAACTGCCCTTCCTATTTCTATTCATATGCCTGTGCAACATGGTGCCTTTCAGTACTTACAAGGCTATCCATAACTCATTTTTACCTAATTTCATTTGCATAAAAATGGTTGGGGGAAGTAGACAGGATATGGTATTGTAGATCCCGTACTTCCTAGCCCTGGATGTCAAAATTATCACAAAGAGATCATTTTTGTGAAAGTACAAAAATACATATTTAAGATTTGATATATACCTGTCATAAATCCGAATGCTAGCCGGAATGGCACTTATGAACCCCACTAGTTTTTTGTTTGAAGAAACCCTAACTCCACAGTGCCACTGAGGCAGCCAGCCTGGAGGACGAAGAGCCCTAAAATCAGTTCAGAGACAAAGGAAAAGCAAATTAAGGTCTATGGATAGATTAAAAAAAAAAAAAGAGGGGCCTTCCCTCTCAAAATGAGAACTCATGTGTACAGCCCTCCTGAAATAGTAAATGCAACTTGTTACTCACCATAAGAGGAACTCAGGGGAGTAATCAAACCTGAACATGTTGTCATCATCTTCTACATAATTTTCATTTAACAATGTATACAGTTCCTTGAGCTGCGAGCAGAAGACAAAAGATGTGACACATCTCTACCTTTCAAAGTCAGCTCACAACTACTTTACTCAGGTAAACTGTTCAAAGTGATAATTGTTTTACTCACTACTTCAGGATTGCTCAAGTCTAAGGTGTCCCATGTGAAACCCTGGGGTAAAGAATATGGTTCCTGACGGATGTTGTCCTTATCTGGTTCAATTGCACCATGAGATGTAACTACTTCATCTGTTTAAAAAAAGAGAGAGAAAGAAAAGTTTTCTTCACGGACCATTTTAGCCATTTAAAATTTTGGTCTAACTCTACTTAAAATATTTAATATTCTCCCCCATTAGATTTTAAGCTCCTTCTGAGTAGGGATTGTTTCATTCTTTAGATCTATATCTCCAGTGCCTAGTACAGTGCTTGGCATTATAGTAAGTACTTTTATATATAAAAATATTTATTATTTGTTGATGAATTGTTTGACCAACTAGTTATGTTTAGCCTGGAGAAGAAAAGATGTGTCTATAGGAGTGAAAGAGAAAAACAGCAGACACAACATCTCTATCCAGATATTTGAAGGACTGTCATATGCAAGAGGGATCAGACTTGTTCTGCATGTCTCCAAAGGGCACAAAGAATAACATATAGGATTTTGTAGAAGCAGACTTAGGGTTGCTTTAATTAAAACATCAACAACAAAATCCCAACAATTAGAACTTTACTCGAGTGTTTGCTAAAGGGTTGACTCCTTGAAGACAGGGCCTACCTTTTGTCATTTTTTTTGTATCCCCTGCACTTAGCACAGTACCTGGCACATAGTAGGCATTTAATAAATATTTACTGATCATATGAACTAGTGGTGTAATAAAGAAGATTCCTGTTCATATATGGTTTACTCTAGATGACCTCTGAGGCCCCTTACAAGTATGTGATTCTATGATTAAGTCAACTCATAGTCTATTGAAATGTCAAAACCTACCATTAGGGAGCAGGTTTAGTAGCTCCTCAAATTTCATCCCAGGAAAATGCTCTGAAGCACTGTAATTGGTAATGCATGCCTGATATGAGATACCCAAAAAAGGTTCTGACTTCCCACACTGCACTTTGGAAATGTGTCTTAGAGATATAGCTCTGTCCTCTATTAACCTAAAATGCCAAACATTACAACTATTATGAAGATTATCTCCCAGAATGTCATAACAAGGAAACATCAGATTGAGCGCACCAGCTATATTTTCAGGTTCAAAACACACTGTCACCTGGCTATCAGATGAGAGAAGGCAAGGCTTGTTTGTATGGCTTGTGCTCAGCAGCGCAGAAAGAGCAGTGCAAAACAGTGATGTCTCCAAATCACCGTGGCACACATTGTCTGCACACAGTGCTAGACTGAGTCTGGGTCTCTAAACATCATCAGAGAATATCTTTCCCTAGGTGAAGCTACACATGTGTAATTCACAGGATTTAGAGCCAGAAGGGACCTGTGGAATTAAAATTTTTCCCACCTCTCCACTTGACCTCCTCATGTAATGCTGGTGAGGAGGGACTGGAGAGGTCAGCTCTTGTTGCTTCTACCTTTCTTGTTCTCATCATCAGAGCCTGATTTGAACTCTTACTGAACCTTTACCTTTGTTATTCCCCTTCAACACAATACCCAGGCTCCAGAAGTGATTGCGATTGGGCCAAAGATAAAGCTTTGACTGTCTCCAGTCCATACCCCTGAGCTCTGGTATTAAAAATTCCTCATTATCTCATTATCATTTGTGTGTGTGTATGTGTGTGTGCGTGTGGTGGGGATATACCTGCAGATCGCTATCGTAAGTCATCCCCTTTGGGACGCAGCATCCAGACGCAACCCCGCTGCTGTGTGGCAAAAGTTTGAATCATACTTGACAGCCATGAATTAAACTGGCTACCTTTCCCTCCTGCCACCCTTATTCCCATCCCCAAAAAGCAGACCACGTGCCAAATGAGGGATTTTGTTGACTTGAGCCAGCTTAGCCTAAAACCATTATATTTCTATCCCCCAGAATGGCTTCAGATAGCCTAGCTGGTCCAATCTCTTGGGTTAGTCCCAGAGGCTCCAATACCACCTTAGATTAGTGCCGAGTTGTGAGTGACCTAAATTTATATAACAAGTTTCAAGGGAGCTAGGTGTCTTCTGGGCAATACTGTCTTCACTATTAAGCAGGAACTTGGTGATTGACACGGTACCAAATGCAGCAACCCAAATAGTGGTCAGCTAAAACCAACAGATTTAGACCAGAGAGGATGCCAGAACAAGAAAAAAAAAGCTATTCTAATACTGACTATTTAACTTTAGGTCAGTGTAATTTAATACCACTTGGAGAGGTGAAGGATGGGGTGACCTAGAAGCTTCAAGAAGAAATGCAAGCAGATGGACCAATTCAAGCTTTTTAAAAATATCTTTGAAATCAGTCAGTTATCTTGGAATTATTTCCCATCATAGAATTACAGAGTTGGAAGGGACCTCCGTGACTACCCCTCGACAAAAGGTAGTCTTCCTGTCTTTGCCTGAAGATCCCCCCAATGCTGGGAAACTCCCTGCATCTGATAGAAACCGACTCTACTTCTAGGCAGTTCCAATTGTAGAAAATTTTTCCTGACCTCAGGCCTAAATTTGCCTCTTTGGGACTTCTGCCTGTTGCTCCAGGTCTGCCTTCTGGTGACAAAGAGAACAGTTTTGATCCTCCTTCTGTCCCTTCAATGACTTGAAGGCAGCTGGTAGATATGTCCATCCTGAGTCTTCTCTTCTCCAAGCTAAAGCTCCCCAGTTCTTTCACCAGATCTTCATAAGGCATGGATTTTTTTTTTTTTTACCATTTTAATTGCCCCCAAGTTTTCCATGTCCTTTTTAAAATGCGTCCCTTAGAACCTAACACAGTACTCAAGGTGTGGTCTGACCAGGGCGGAGTACAGCAGGACCACCACTTCGCTATTCCTGGAAGTTAGATATTTTTTAATGCAATCAAAGATTACATTAGCTTTGGGAACTGTTGACATACTGAGCTTGCAACCCTTTTTGGGTTGAATCTTTTTCAAATAAGTTGCCTCCCCTTCTAGGATGCCAACCAGAATAAGCATTTCATTCATCCCATAGCCTCTGCAGCTCCCATAATGACAACAAAAACAAAAGCAGCTCATTTATATTGTGTTTTGAGGTTGTTTAAAAAACTCTTGCCTCACAAGGAGCTTATGAGGTGCCAAGAATGCACAAGCACACACAGAACAAGCATGAACTCTACCAAACTAATCACAGAGAGGCAGTTTTTCTTTTTTCATTTACACCGTGATGTTTCAGGACTGCAGACACTTCTTCCTGAATGTATCATGATAAATTCTCTGAGGCTGAGTTACTATTACTGTAGCTCTCTTCTTTCCTCTTAGATCCTACGTCTCAGCTCTAATGACCTCCCTTTCCACCTAGTTCAGCCACACGCCAGCAGTGTCAAACTTTAGACTTCAATATCCTCAACTTTTGGGCAGCTAGGTGACACAGTGGATAGAGCTCCAGGCCTGGAGTCAAGGAAGACTCATCTTCCTGAGTTCAAATCCAGCCTCTGACACTTCCTAGTTGTGTGATCCTGAGCAAAATCATTTAACCCTCTTTGCCTCAGTTTTCTCATCTGTCAAATGAGCTGGAGAAGGAAATGGCAAACCACTCCAGTATCTTTGCCAAGAAAACTCCAAATAGAGTCATGGAGAGTTAGACATGACTGAAAAACGACTTAATAGAAATCCTGAACTTCAAAATTATCTCCAGTCACAACTTTCCATCATTCCACCTCTCCCACTTAGACTAAACTTATTCCACCTCTATTAAAAAAAAAAAACAAAACCCAAAACCAAAAACAACACACAACTTTGATGCTGTTGTATTTTTAAAACCATCACCATTTCCCTTACCTCCAAATCCCCCTCACAAAAATTTGCAACCCTCAAAAGATTTAGCACCACTAGGGCTACATTGGTAGTCATCTAGTCCAATCTCTCATTTTCCAGATGAGAAAACTAAGGCCCAGAAAAATAAAGTGATTGCCCAAAGTCTCTGCTAACCTTGAAAACATCACCTACAGCAAATGCTTTCCCTTCCTCATCAGTAGCTTTTCAACCCTTTGCACACTGGCTTCTGCCTTCACCACTCATTCTAAATATCTCCCATAAAATTTGACCAGTCACCTAATCAGTAGCCACCTTTTTTCACTCCTAAAACTGCTTAACCACTCTGTAGAACAGAATATTTTTGACCACACTCTCCCTTGGCTACCTTCTGACTACTCTTTTATTGTATCACCATCTTCTTCCTGCCTCCTAAGGAGAGGTGTTCTCCAAGGCCTCGTACTTGACAGTCTTCTTTCTCCCTCTGCTCTCTCCCTTGGTAATTTAATTGACCTTGATTTCAGCAACTACCACTATATAGATAACTCCTCATTTTCTATCATTGGTGCTGAGTTCATGTTTGAATTTCATACTCACATCTGTAGCTGATACATCTCTACAAATATCTCTAGCTGATATTTTGTAAGAACCTCAAATTCAACCTGTCCACACTCTTTGAACTGTTCGGCCAGTGACACCATTCACCCAAGCTTCCATGTTTGAAATCTTCCATATTTGCCTCTCTATTACTTTATATGTTCACAAGTTACCAAGTCTCTACAATATCCTTTGCTTCACTAACCTTTCCTCTCTATCTTAACATACTGTCACCTCCACTCTCCCCTTTCTCCAACCTATCATTTCCTCTAATATGAAACTATCTTTGAGCACAGATCTGGATCTCTGCTGCAGTGAGCACAACTCCAATGAGCTGGCCACACTGTTCGAATGCCAAATGTATGCTTGCCAAAAAGACTTTTATGGAGAGCTCACACAGGACAAGCACTCACATGGTGGTCAGAAACAGCAATCTAATGATACTCTGAAAGTCTCTCTTATGAATTCTGGAATTTTGTAACATGGAACAGGATTGCCCAGCATAGCATGCCCTCAGAGAAGGTGCTGTGTTCTATGAGCAAAGCAGAATTCAAGTAGCTCAAAAGAAACATGAGATAGGCAAATTTCAAGAATCCACTCCAAATGTTCACATGGACTATTTGTGTCCGACCTGTGGTAGAGCCTTCCAAATTTGCATTGGTCTGATCAACCACAGTTAGACACACTGAAACTTGACTTTAACATAGTGATCTCATTTTGGTCCTCTTCGAGAATGAAGGACAATAACCAACCAGACTAATGTTTAAGATCAGATCTGAGAGCAGCTAGGTGGTGCAGTGGATAGAGCACCGGCCCTGAAGTCAGGAGGACCTGAGTTCAAATCCGACCTTAGACCAAACACTTGACACTTACTAGTTGTGTGACCCTGGGCAAGTCACTTAACCCCAATTGCCTAAAAAAAAAAAAAAATTAGATCTGGATCCTAGATTTTGAGCCTGAAAGGACCTTAGAGGTCATCATTATATCACTGTTCAAAAATCTGAATTGGCTCCTTATTACTCATTAAGTAAAATTCAAACTCCTTTGCCTGGCATTCAAGTCTCTCTACGATATAACACCAGGCTCTGTTTCCAGCCTCTCGTATTACCTCCTTCCATATACTCTTCCAGCCAAAGTGAACTACTCAGTCCCCCAAAGATAACCAATGTTTTCCCACCTGCGTAGCTGTTACCTGTGATTTGCCATCCCCTCTTTGCCTTTAGAATTCCTATCAAATTCAAATGCTACTATTGTCATGAGGCCTCCCTTAATTCTTGTGGTTAATATCTTTCTTCTTGGATCTCACATGGCATTATATTTTGTATCTATTGGATGAACTTATCATGCAACACTAATGTAATATAGGTATCTGTGTAGTATCTTATTCCCCACTAGACTTATGAGCTCCACCAAGGCAGAGACGTTGTCTTGGCTAAATTGTCTCTCCTCTAGTGCCTAGCCCAGTGGACTGCATGTGGTAGGCATTTAATAAATGTTGGTTTAAAAAAATCAAATGAAACAGTTGTACATTTGGATAAAAAGTATTACAGTACAAAAATGAACGTTACAAGAAAGCAAGTCACATGGCTGAAATAAATGCTCATGTTCATTAACTATCTTAGCTTTACTTTTATTTAAGAAGAAAAAGAACTTACGAAGCTTGGGTACAGGTTGTGTATCCCAAAACTGATATTTCCGTTTGTTAGCGTCATCAATACTCTTGGCGGGGCCCTGACATGCAGAGAGAAGTTCCATCGCCCTTTGAATATCCTGCAGCTTCTGCATTGGAATGGCCGGATTCTGTGTAGACAAAAGCATAGGTAAGCAGTGAGTTCAGTGTGACTAGTCTTAGGATAGGTACAAATGTACCCATTTATACTTCTAAAGATGGCATCTACCAGATGAAATGTACCTTACCTTTTAAGAACACAAATCTACTGAGTGAATTTTGTATTTTAATGTGTTAGTTTTATTTACAATTGGTATATAAGCTGACATTAGCAGTTCCAGAATTTTGAATTCAACAATGACAATAAGCAATTTAATAAGCCTATGCAAATCACCCTACTTTCTATTTCAGTTTGCTACTCATTTGCATATTGGAAACATATATTGGGAGAACTAAAAAAGGATTTCCGTGGAAAAAGATACCATAATATTACAGTCTGTCAACCACTCCTGGTTCAGCAACGTGCAAAAGCAGTGTATCGGGAGTGGGAGATGAGGAGAGAGTGTATTCTGTTGAAAGCAATAGAAAGTATAAATCAACTAGCATTTCTTCTTTTTAAAAATATTTATTCATTTATTTATTTATTTATTTATTTTTAGATTTCATCATTCACTTCCATAAGACTTTGGATTCCAAATTTTCTCCCCCTCCTTCCCCTCTCCCCATCCCAAGATAGGAGATATACATACATATATATATATATATATATATATTTTAAACATATTTTCATATTAGTCATGTTGTAAAGAAGAATTAGAATGAATGGGAAGAACCACAGGAAAGAAACCAAAAAAAAACAAAAGAGAGAGAGGGAGGGAGAGAAAGAGAGAGCAAATAGGATGCTTTGATCTGCATTCAGACTCTGTAGTTCTTTCTCTGGATGTGGACAGCATTTTCCATCATGAGTCTTTTGGAGTTGTCTTACATCCTTGCATTGCCAAGAATAGGTAAGTCTATCAAAGTTAGTCACTGCACAATTCAAACAGCTTTTCTTAAGAGCTTACCAGCTATCAGACACTGTGTTAGGGACTGGGGATATAAAGACAAAAAAGAAACAGTACCTGCCCTCAGGAAGCTTACATTCTATAGGGAAAAACACCACATACCCATATAAGGTTAGGAAGAGAGGGTACTGGCAGTTGAGGATATCAGGAATAGTTTCCTGTAGAAAGTGTTCCCAGTACTTGAGTCTTGAGGAAAATAAGGGTTTTGTATGAGGCACAGAGAGGAGGAAATGTATTCTAGGCATAGAGAAATGGCTGTAAGCACCTGAAGGCCATGATTCTCTTGTTTTCATCTTTATGTCCCCGGCATATGTGCTATATCTTAGCACTGTGTGTTGCTTAGTAAATTAATTATACTGAAACACGGCTGGGTTAAAGTTTTGTTCAACTTGAAAGTGGAAGAAAAATATGAACAATTCTAAACTATCAGGGGACTTTTTTTGTTTTTGTTTTTGTATCATGGGACTCTTTTGACAGTCTGGGGAAGCCCAGGGAGATTCCTTCTCAGAATAATGCTTTTAAATGCATAAAATAAAATATGTAGGATTATAAAGGGAACTAATTATATCGTAATAGTTATTTTAAAAAGGAACTCACATACCCCAGATTAAGATCCCCTGTTCTAGACTAAGTAAGCTTCTTTATACAACCTTAAAAGCAACTGGATATAACTTTTTTTTTAAAAGTTCTACTTGCTTATTCTTTTCCAGGGCTATAATTGGTAAATGTTTAACAACTAACTCTCCAGTAAAAAAGTGTACACAACACACTTTTATTAACATTTTCTCCATCACTTTTTAAAGTAAAAACAATCAATAAAACAATAAATCAAGCCCTAATCTTTACTGTTTGCCAATTTCTGAAATGTAAATACTCACACTGAAAGTTCTGTTATCTTATCTGAATCTAACCTCCCTACTTCTCTCCAAAAATACTCTCTAACATCCAGAAAGTCAAGTAATTCCTTTCATATAAAGATCTTCCACAACTGTCTCTTCCTCCCCCACTCCCAAAAGACTGGGAAACATTCTTCCTTGCCAATCTAAAGCAAAATATACACTGAGTTTCAAAGTTCCTTAGTCTGAAAACACTCTCTTCACGCTCCTTTTTAATACCTCTTAGACAGAGAAAGTAAGGTTCACCTCATATAGAAAAAAAATCCCATTTTGAGTTTACATCAGTAGATAGAACTGAATAGTCCACATTGTTTTTTAATTGTTAAATTTAAATTTGTTTAACAATGAAACATTTGAACATTTTAAATTAAATGTTCATTTAAAACATTTTAAAATGTTTTAAAATTATGATTAAAAAGAAAAAAACTCCATTTCTTTGAATTGAGATGCCACTAATCCTTGCTGAGCTCTATTTTAGAAGGTGTTAGAGGATGAAGACACTCCAATGTGTCTGAGTGCCAATACTCCATAAATATCATACCTAGGAAGGGGTGGGGACATTTATAAGGTTTGAGAATGAGCAACTTTAGATTTTTATGTTTGGATTTTTTTATTTCTAGTTAAGCAACGTTATTTAACTAGAGATGCCTTTGGTTCAATCTGACACACTGCACTTAATGAATTTTATTTAAAATGGACCAGCTGAAGTCACTGAGTTCCTTGGGGATTCCTGCTTATAAAATAACCCAAGAAAACCCAGTATTAAGTTTAACTGGAGGCTGGTCAAAAGCCAAACACTCCTATTTTTATCTAACACCTCAGTTTGGAGATTATTGTTGCTTTTGTAAAATGCCTGCTTTATATTTTGATTAATGAGATCATATTCACAAGCATATCTTACATATGCTAACTGAACAAATTACTTCAGCTCAGATAATATATTGTGGCTTCCAATTGCTTCTTTAGTATGAGGTCTTTGCTGAGCTTCATGCAAAAAGGTGACTTTTTAAACCATACAAAATGTTCAACCCACTGCAACGCAACTTATTAAGAAAAGAGTCGGGCACGTTTCAACAAAGCATGCCTAGGTAACATATCTGTCAGTTTATCTGAGATGAAGTACTACCCAGCCTTATAAAGTGTACAATGCTACTGCTGTGCATTTGTCTTGCTGCCATCTTTTTTTCCCTGACTTTTGAGGTAAAATTCCCTTAAGCAAAATCTATCAAAGCTATACTATTTTGAAATAAGTAAGAATCAACATCTTTGTCCCGAGTTGATAATAACATCACAACTCTATAAGAGAGGGCTGTTGGAAATTTATAGTTTACCTTTAAGTTAGTTCTATCATGTTGACCAACAAAAATTCACTAAACAAAAATTTATCATTCAAGAAACAAAATGCCATGAGTACACTGATCCTCACTGTCCAAAACATTTCTCAAGGTAGAATTCTAAGTTGAATACAGGATTTAAATTGGTCAAGGAAGGTGGCAATAAGAATGACAGGTTTAGGGGCAGCTAGGTGGTATAGTGGATAGAGCACCAGCTCTGAACTCAGGAGGACCTGAGTTCAAATTCAGCCTCAGACACAAAATGTCACTAGCTGTGTGACCCTGGGCAAGTGACTTAACCCCCCCCCCCAAAAAAAGAGTGACTGTGTAGGACAAACTCTTAAACCTATCCATCTTCCAATAGCACAAAAGCACTTCCCGGGGGAAAGCTGGGCATGTAGTCACCCCAATTTTGATTTGCCAGATTCTGTATTCTACTCTGTTACAGACACCATGGCACAGTGGATAGAGAACTGGCCTCAAGGCATAGCTCACAAGGCATATGGGCATATGTGACCCTAGCCAGTCACTTTAAACCTCTTAGTGCTCTAGGAAACTCTCTAAGATGGATTCTTAAGCCATTTTTTGTGTGTGTCATAGACACTCAGAATGGTGTTTTTAAATGCATAAAATATATAGTACCATAAAGGAAACCAATTATAGTGAAATAAAAATGTATTTTTTTCTCCACTCAGATCTTATTATAGACTCCCTGAAATTTATCCACAGATCTCTTGGAGGTCCATTGACCTAAGGTTAAGAACCTTTGCTCTTAAGACTAGAAGTTGTCTAGAAACTGCCAACCTCCACTGGTAGAGGGAGTTTAATCACTTGGCAGTTCCCTACAGTAATGAAATCACAAGTTGAGTCTCTATTCCTAGAAGGCAAGTAATTCACCATAGCAGAATAAAGTTTCTCCACTGGTGCCTATGAAGATTTCCCAGAATCAACTTAATAATACTCATCATTTTCTAAACTAAATCTGGAGAAGGTAGTAATTATTGCTGATATTTCTACAGAGGCTTAAAGATTGACATGGATCTTTTTAAATGCTGTCTCACTCATGTTTCACCGCAACCCTCTGAAGCAGGTTATGTAGCTAGTAAGGATTCAAATCCAGGTCTCGCCTCACCCCAAATTCACCACTGTCTACTACTCTAGAAGTAGCCCAGAATCTTGGAGCTGAGAGACGAGTGCGTGTGTTCCAGAATCATACAACCTCCAGAAGCAAGAGCTACTATGTGTCCATTTGTAACAGTGGAGAAGAGAAATGAACTTCCCCGAGTTTCCCCCAAGAATGGAAACCTGTAGCAAATGGCTCATGAATGTGCTTTTCAGCCAAACCTATCTGGAAGGAAGAAGACTTCAGAGGTGACCTAGTTCAACCCTCTTATTTTAGAATGTCAGCCCGAGATTTAAAACCCATTGCTTAGATGAGGAGACTGAGGTCCAAAGAGGGGGAATAATTAAAGAAGACCACATAGGTATAATAAGTGTCAGAGGAAGAATCTAAGTCTTCTGACCCCATAATGGAAGGAATGGATTCTAGGTGGCAGAAGGTTTCCAGGCCAGAGCCATAAATACGAAGGATGGTTCAATAGGTAATTGAGTAAAGTCAAAGCCCAAGGACAATGATCTTTGGTGGCCAAGAATGGAAAGGCTATTTTTTTTTTTTGCCAGGATCACAGTTGGTAGGTTGAGGGTGAAAGAGATGCATGTAGGTCTCTTGAAGACAGGAAGCTGAAGAAAAAACATCATGGTAAGCCCTAGAAAAGGGTTATCCTAAGATCATAGATTTAGAACTGAAAGTCAATCAGTCAACAAGCATTCATTGAGTGCTTACTATGTGCCAAACACAGGCTAAGTTCTGGGGACACAAAGAAAGGTAAGAACAAAGGCCTTGCCTTCAGAGAGCCCATATTCTAGTGGAAGAGACAATATGCACACAACTATGGACATACAAGATACATACATGTAAATGGAGGGCAATCTTTGAAGACATGTTAAAGGAAAGGGACCTCAGAGGCAAATAAGTCCAACACCCTCAGTTTATGGATAAGGAAACTGAGGCCCAGAGAAGTTAGGTGTATTGCCCAAGGCTGCAAACTATGAGGTGGAGCTGATTTGAACCTAAGTCTTTTGACTTCAAATCTAGCGCTCTTTCCCCGCCCTCCCTGTCACTGGCCTAGGGCTTAGACACCTGACGATATGGACTAGGGAAGCAAATTCTAGAAGTACTGAGATGATGAAAAGATCTTTGCACACCTGAATCCTGCATCAGCAAGAAATCTAGCAGTTCCATTTGAGAGTTACAACAGAAAGCCATGAACTGCCCTCGTTTCATCCTTTATAACCTTGTTGGGCTCTCACTGCTGCTCAGCCAATCTTTTCCTTTTACTCTCTGTGACACCCTACGATGCACCCCAGAACAGTTACTCTATAAAGTTTTTCTTTCTTTAAGCCCTCAGACTTAATCTCACTTCCCCATACGCATGGCAGACAAGACTGCTTCCATGATGCTGAGAAAAATCAAAGGTTTACAACATGAGTTCTTTTAACCTATCAAAACGTCTCTGAATCTGAATCCATACTTTTCTCTCCTATCACAGAATCACAGATGTCATGCTGCAAGCGACTCAGCAGCCACCTAAGTCAAATCCCTCATTTTACAGATGAGAAAATCAAGACCCAAGTGGCATAAATGACCTATCTAAGGGAGGAAGTAAACCAGCATTTATGAAGTGTTTACTGTGTACTAGGCACTGTACTAAGTGATTCGGATACAAATACAAGCAAAGAGAAAGCTAGACCCTGCCCTCTAGACGCTTTCGTACTCAAACGAGAGAAGACAGTGTACAAAAGAGAGCTAAAAAGCAGGGATCCGGGGGCAGATGAAGGTACTCAGTTGCAGAAAGGCATGGTTTTGAAGTCTGAAAGACAGGATCATCATCAAGAAGGGAATGAGGCAGCCAACCTGAACCCCTCACAAAACAGGCCTTCACAGAGCACTCACCAATACGAGAAGGAAGCTGGGCTGGCAGAGGGACAGTCCAAGGTGAGAAGGCCCTAGGAGTAATTGGATTAAGTAAGCAAGGAAGCCCCACGTGCCAAGGGAACTTCTAGGATGGGACACCAGCTGAGGTATCATCTTGAGGTCCAGAAATCAGGATCAGAGCCAGGAGGGAAATGACAGGCAAAGACGAAGGTCATAGAATCATGGCTACAATGCTGGAAGGGACCTCAGAGGTCATTCAGTTCAACTCCCACCTTTCACAAGTGGAGAAACTGAGGCTCAATGAGCTTCAGTGACTTGGCAAAAGTCACACAGGTATTAAATGTCAAAAGGCAGGATATAAAACCATTCCTGACCTCCTCATGCTTTTTCCCACTGCCTTCGAGGAAAAAGTTTCTTTTCTATATGGCAGTGGAGAGAAAGATGAACTTGAAGTGCTGAGCCTGACATCAGAGGGCCCAAGTTAGAATCCTGACCCTGCCACTTACTACCTGTGGGGTGTTAGGCAAATCACTTGACTTCTTTTAGACTAAGTCTCCTCATCTAGAAAATGAGGGGGTTGAATCTAAAGTCCTTCCTACTCAACTTCTATGATCCTGTGAGCCTGTCTCTTCACACCTGCACCAAGAGCTCGAATTCTTATTTCCTCCCCACCAAGTAAGTGAATGAAGAAGTGTCTCCTCAGTAACTCCAAATCCTTATTTGTAATGTGGAGAGCTGCTGCAGATTCTTTTTCATAGTACAGAACACAGACCTCATCTCCTTACAACAAAAGCCGCCTCAGAACAATATTCACAAGACCCAGCTGATGACTCACTTAAGCATCAACAAAATCATTTCTATTTTTCTTGCCCTATATGTGCTCCTATTTAATCCTGATGGGTGACGTGATTTGACCTCTATGATGCTGACAGACTATTTATTGCCACAGTTCTCCGTGGCAGCACCAGGACCATATCCTTCATGGCCCAGTTTTCCTGAGGCACTAGTCCACAAGACACGGCAGCTGCAGTCTGTCCCAGCATGTGCACTCTGAGTACAGCCCTCTGCTCTTCCCGGACATCTGACTGACTGCAGCAATGAAGGCTTCTCCAGTGGCAACACTAGAGTAGTTTTCCACTTTGGGAGATTTAAAGGCTGGACACTGACGAATGGTCTGTTTCATGATGGGTGTGGATTTACCCCTGGCCTCGCCTGCTGAAATCTGCTGCCAGATGTGGATGTGCTTATTCAGGTAATTTGACAAGCATCCAGAAAAATTAAAGTGGAACTATCTTCTAAACTAAAAATAATTAACAGATTAACCCTTAAAAATAAAACCAAAGACTGTCAAGCTATAACATTGAGACTTTCTTCTGTCTGAAAAATATTAACTTACAGAATTTTTTTTTAAAAAAACCTTAAACACTACATATATACGTACATACAGACAGACAGATAGATAGACAGACAGATTAAGTCTAGAAAACTCCTTCCATGGGTAGACAGGCAGGTCTTCTGTAACCTGGAGTCTCAGAGTTGCCCGGAGCACTGAGAGGTCAAATGACTTGTGTTTGGTCACATGGCTAGTATTGATAAGTCAAGACTTGAGCCCAGCTGAGAGGTAGCATGGCAGAGTGGAGAGAGCACTGAACTCCAGCCAGGGCAGGAAGACCTGCATTCAAATCCTGCCTCAGACACTTACTAACTGTGTGACCCTGAACAAGCTGCCTCAGTCTTAGTCGTCAGCTAGAAAACAGATAATAATAGCACCTGTCACCAAGGATTGTCGTGAGAAACAAATGATCATTCTACAGATCTTAAAGTACAATATTTATCAATCAGATGTGCTAGGCATTGTGTTAGGCAATGAGGACCCAAAGACACAAATGAAACAGTCTCTAAGTCACATGTGTGCACGTATGCATGTGTATAAATATGCGTGTGTATATGTACGTGTGTGTTATACTGTGGACTATTAATATATGGAATGACAGCCCACACATATATGTTTATACATATGCATATTTGTATAATAACTTTTGTTGTTGTTCAGTCATTTTTCAGTCATGTCCAACTCTTTGTCACCCCATTTAGGGTCTTCTTGGTAAAGATACTGGAATGGTTTGCCATTTCCTTCTCCAGCTCAGTTTACAGATGAAGAAACTGAGGCAAACAGGGTTAAGTGACTTGCCCAGGGTCACACAGCTAGTAAGTGACCAAGGCCAGATTTGAATTCAGAAAGATGAGTCTTCCTGACTCCAGATCCATCTCTCTGTGCCATCTAGTTGCTCATATAATATCTACAGTTGAGCTATTATTCCTGATTCCAAGATTGCCCTATCTTAAGCAATCTTGCCTACTCTATGCTGCCTTTCATACATGTACATGTACTTATGTTATCTAGGTGTCGGAGACCATTAAGACTCCTCCACTTAACCACTACCATTCAACATGTGGCCATGACAAAAGCCCTAAACTAGGCTTCTGATTCTTCTCAGTGCTAGGCAGCAAAAGTCACTCTCCTTGGACGGGAAACCTCAAGAGTTAAAATAAATCAAAGACCTTACTTTGGAAGGCTGCTGAATTTTAATCTCCTGGGAATCAGATGCTGAATCTGATTTCGTGCCTCCAGAATTCGGTTTCTCCTTTTTTCTCTTCTGTTTCTTCTTTTTCTTTTTGGCTCCTAAATCCCCTCCAGGACTTCTGTTGGAAAAGTCAAAGAAGATGAAATGAGAAAAGCCATTACTGTAAAGCCTGAAGGGCATGAAATTAATCATTGAGGAAAAACTGTAAGTTCTAACTGTGGAAACTGAGGTTAGGAAGTAAGAAGAAAATAAAATCTGCCAGGCTAATGAATTAATGGAAAACAAGCAAAGAGAGACATATGACAATTCCAGATTTACTCTTGCTGACCGATTGTCTGAATGCCATTCTGTGCAATCCAGATATACTATGTCAATGCATGTTAAACAATTCCAAGTCTTATTTTCACTGCTCTACTGACCCAGTTTTTGTCAATTTTTTAAGAGCCTTTTAAGAAGAGGCACCCATAGAAAGAAATTCCATTATAAACATCTCTCTTGGGCACAACAAACCACTAATTTTGATGCACTAGAGCTAAAGAAATTAGCTTTCTCTGCTGGAAAAAGAAAATAAAATTTCTGATAAAGATTTTCACTCATTAGTTTAATAATAATGATTTTTAAAACTTTTAATGGCAAGAACTACATTAACTGTACAGAGTCTGGAATCTATGTCTTACATGTTTAATGCTCTAAGAGTAAAGGAAAACAGGGGAAAAAAATCCAAAAGGAGTTTAAATTTTCCTTCTATGTGGCCTTAGACTTCTGCAAAAATCCCAGAAGATGCATTAAAAGTCTGGGAGAAATTTTCATTGGGTTATTATAGAACCATCCTACATTAAAGCCCAGCTGTGCCACTGGATCTGATACTTTCTAGGGTGGGGATGTGGTAAACTCTATTTTCCAAGGTTTAAAAAGACAATAGTAAGTGAGTGAAGTAAGTAAAGTGACACAGTAGACTCTCATCATAATACAACTTGTTATTAAGGGAATCTGGAGAGAAATGTGGGCCAAATCATGTGACCCAAAACATGAAACAAAAAATGCTTTAAGAGAAAAACTTGGCCTCTCATCTGGCCTGAGTTCAAATCTTGCTTTGCTAGTTGTTACCTTGGGCAAATCACTTAACTTCTCTGGGCCTCAGTTTTCTCCTCTATAAAATAAGTAGGTTGGATTCAGTGACTTCTTAAGTCTCTTCAGTTCTTATTCAGTGACTTTATGATTCAAATAGTCAACAAGCATTTACCGAGTGCCCAGCATGTGCCACATACATGTTAAATCGATGGGGATACAAATACAAACAAGAAAACACTCCCTGCCCTCAAGGAGTTATATTCAGTAACTAAATGGAGGAGCCATGTTAGCCCCACCCTTTCATGCCTACTCCCTCTAGGGGCTCTTAGGTACTTGTTATTCATGGGATAAAACAACAGAATTTCAGTGTTCAAAACTCAACAATTCATTCCTATGTAAATTCAAAACTGTGGAGACCTGGAAGGTACCTGTCATGTTCTATTTCTGGATATAATTTAGTAGAACTGATTCTTACTGTAAGGGGAGTGTAAAAGGACGTGAGAAAAACATGACATTTCTTGTGTTATCTTTTTTTTTTTAAAGTAATAGCTTCCTCTACTGTGATAAAAGCCTAAGCAGAGTAGACCCATACAGACTTGGTCCTAATCCTACCCTAAAGTAGAAATCAATGATAGTTTGAGAAGCATTAAGCTTTGAGCCATTAGGACTCTATTTATCAAACCACCTCTCCCAGGACACTGAATGATACCCTAGAGTCCTAAAAATATTCATGCCTTACAGAAAGGGCATCATTCTCAGCACTGACCTCAGCTGTTTGCTCACCTCTAAAATGACGCCCTTGGGCTGGAAGACCTCTCAGGTTCCTCAGTCCATGAAGCAGGGCTTTAGACCACCATGGCCATGTGCATTGCCTTGTGCAGTTTTCCCTAGGTGAATACTAACACTGCAAATACCTGATTGGCAGATGGGTTTAAACAAACATCCCACCCACTCCATCCAGAACTGGGCTTTCATTGAAAATAGGACTTTTCCATGTGCTGGGGCTTGGGAGCTCGAGCATGTGTATATAGGAATCTTCATAGTATCTCCCATCTGACCCCTTCTCTCTCCACTCAGGAAGCTACCATCTGAGTTCAAGCCTAAGGTAGTACAAACACCCTCCAAATGGCTCTCTGTGCCTTGAGGATCGCCTGCCTCCAACCTAGCCTACACCCTGCTGGCAAAAGGCATTTTCCTTGAGCACAGGTGGAACCATCTAACTGCTCTACTCAGTCAACTCCAACGGCTTCCAAGTGTCTCTAGGATAAAATATAAAATCCTGTTGGACTCAGAAAGCCCTTCATAACTTGCCCCAGCCTTATTAGACATGACTTTCCCTCCCTGACTGTGAGCCAGCCATCCTGATCTTTCTGTTCCTCCCAGATGACACACCCCTCATCTGTTTCTGTGCCTTTGCAGGGGCCATCTCACATACGTGGCATGTACATCTTTCTCACCTCTGCACTGCAGAGCCCCTCTCTACTTTTAAGGCACAGCTGTAGCAGCCCCTTCTCTACAAAACCTTCCCTTATCCCCTCAACTGCTAGGGCTCTTCTGAAGCGCTCTTGTATTTGTTTGCTTTCTGTTTATGCTGTCTACATTTCCACACGTGCTTATTGTCTGCCCCTGTAGAAATTAAGATCCTCGAGAGGATCGTTTCATTCTTTGTACTGGGCATCCACGGAGCACACTGGATAGAGCACCAGCCATGGAGTTGGGAAGACTCATCTTCCTGAGTTCAAACCTGGCCTCAGACCCTAGGCCACTCACTTAATCCTGTTTGCCTCAGTTTCCTCATCTATAAAATGAGCTAGAGAAACAAATGGCAAACCACTCCAGGATCTTTTCCAAGAAACCCCCAAATGGAGTTACAAAGATTTGGACACAACTTGAAACCACTGAACAACAACATTCTTTGCACCTAGCCCAGGGCCTGGAACATACTGAATACTCAATAAATATTTATTGACCAACTGATTGAACAGGGTCATTCCACATCCTGCTTTTGAGGTTTGACCCTGCCATCCACCGATGGGCAGCAAAACCACTGAGACCTACAATGTCCCTGAGATCTCAAAAGGAACCCTACCCCATTCTGCCCAACCAACAAGGAGAGTTAGAGCATCTGCTACGTATCTGGCAATGTTAAGTAATGTGGGGACCACAGAAGACCATTAAGACATGAAGCATCTCTGCCCTGAACTAAAGAAGACCACGTTTTAACCCAGCATAACCCCTGTCACTATCATTTGACAGTCAACTTCTAACTACCAACAGCTCTGGCTCTTCCCTATGGAAAAATGAAGAGGCCCAATTTACACAACATAGTCCCCAGATCTCCAATAATCCTGTAATTAGGCACTGAGTGGCTGAAGAGAAGAAAGTCTAGTGTGGCTGTCTACAAATGCAAAGAGTGGCACAAATCTTTCTCTGTACAAGGCTATGTGCTAGGGGGCAGCGAGGTGGTACATTGGATAGAGCACCAGCCCTGGAGTCAGGAGGACCTGAGTTCAAATCCAGCCTCAGACACGTAACATTTACTAGCTGTGTGACTCTGGGCGAGTCACTTAACCCAAATATTCTCACAAAATAAAACAAAAAAAAATAAACCAAGGCTATGTGCTAGGCACATATGTGCCAGCCTCCACTTTAAGGAGTCTACAGTGTAACAAATTATAAGCAGGAGGCCCTCACTTTCTGGACATACTTGACATGGAAAACAAGAAGCATTTCAAGTTATAGTAGAGATCTAACAAATGAGATAGGATGTTTGTTTTGGAGTGGCAACTAACAGAAGTCAGTAGAACCAGAAAGCCAATTTATACAATAATAACATTGCACAGACAAACAATTTTGAAAGACTTAAGATCTCTGACCAATGTAGTGACCAACCATGATTCCAGAGGATGGAAGATGAAGCATGTTGCCTACCTCCTGATGGAGACATATGTGATAGGCTCAAGCTACAGAATAAGACATGTATTTTTGGACATGAACAATATGGGAATTTTTTTTTTTGCTTGACTATGCTTATTGGTTGCAGGGATTTTGTTGTTGTTGTTGTTGTTGTTTTTAATGGAAGTAGGGTGGGAGGGAAAGAAAACAAATGTTTGCCAAATGAAAAATAAATTAAAATATAAAATGAATTGCTAAGATGGCAGAGTGAGGAAGGAACCCTTTGAAGCCCTCCCAAATTCCCCTCCAGACAACTAGAGAACCACCTCAGAATTGGTCTAGGAGCAAGGAGGCAGCTTACTAGGGGGCAAGAAAGGTCTATCTCATTGGGATGGGAGAGGAGTAAGGTCCAAGAGCAGCAGCAGCCTGGCCTCACAGCAGGGGGACGGCAGCAAGACTCTAAGCCTGGGGCAATCCACCAGGGAGGCCCCACCTCATCCCCCTAGGCAAGAGAGCAGTCCTTGTTGCACAACAAGGCCCCATCCCAGCAACCCTACCACCCTTAGCACCAGCCACTAGCCAGTCCTTGACCCCATTGCTGACCAGTAGTGAAGCCCTGCCCAGGGGCTGGCCAATAGTGAGACCCTACCCCTGGGGCCTGCCAGCTGAGACCTGTTAAAATAGCAGCCCAGCAGTAGGGTCCTGCCCCTGGGGCAGGCCAGCAACAAGATTCCTCCTCCAGGGCCAGCCACCAGAAAGATTCTGTTACTATAGCAACCCAGTAGCAAGGCCCCCACCCCTAGGGCAGGCTAGCAGCTAACCCCCATAACCCAGGGGAGATCAAAAGGGAGGCCCCACTCCCTAGTACAAGGCAAAAGGGAAGCCCACCCTCCAGTGAAAGCAAGCAGCTAAGCCCTGAAGCCCAGTGAAAGCCAGCAGTAAGACCCTGAGCCCAGCACAATAAGCTTGGGACAGTGCAGGACCAGAGCCCAACTCTCACATGAAAACACCAAGTCACAAAAAAAAAAAAAAAAAAAAGGCAGAAAAAAATGAGCAAACAAAACAAAACAAAAAAAAAAACTTGACTATAGGAAATTACTATGGTGACAGAGAAGCAAGGCATAAACTTAGAAGAGGACACTAGTGTCAAAA